AATAGGAGTCCCTGTCCTTGAGGTGGTTATTGGAGGGAGGGGGACATAGACAATAAGGATAATAAATACCTTAATTACATATAGTAATTGAAAATCACAAATATTCTGGAGGCTGACACAGGTAAGGACATGAAGCAAAATAAGGGATATCATGAATGCTTTCTGAGAGAATTATGATTTTAATAGGGTAGTCAAGTGAGACTGAAAAAAAAGACATTTGGGCAAAGATGTGGAGAGAGTGAAGGGGGGAGCCATAGATTTGCCATATCCCAGGTGAGGCGTAGTTCAACTTGTCAAGAAGACCAGATGAGCCTCTTATTTAGAACAACACCTACCTGGTTTTAGAGTAACACTCGAGAGGGAACACATCAGCCGTGTTCAGGCAGTAGCCTATAAGGAGACCCGTGTCCATGGAGCAGAGTGATGGAGGGAAGGGTGGTAGCAAATGGGGTCAGAATATAATTGAGGGAAGAAGAGTGAGTTGGATATTTAACCTTGATAACCTTTGTAAGCAAAGTGTTGACTTCCTTTTGGGAGTTCTTTGTCAGCAAAGAATGACAACTCATGACAAGATGCACAAACGCAAAGTTGTGGAGTCCAGCAGACCAGTTCATATTTGTGTAATCTGGGGCATGTTATTCAACCTCTCTGAGTCTCAGCTTTTCATCTGTAAGGTGCGGACAGAAGCTTTTACAGTTGCTGGGAGCTTTATAAATAATGTAGGTAGAGTGCCAGGTACAGTGCCCAGCATCCAATCAGAATTCAGTAAATGTCAGTGAGCACTGAGGTAACCTGGAACTGTTCACCTACAAGAGTGTTAGGAGAGACTGGCTTTGGGCCTCCAGTGGCCACCTCATTGTCCACATTGTTTAATTCAGGGCAGTGATTTGGATGATTTGGCATGTCTGTCACTGACTTAACTATAAATCAAATGAGATTCAAGATGTATCCTAGAAGCTTTTCTATAACTTGTACCACTTTCACTCATAAATGTTGCTCTAGTCTTATATTAAAGCCAAGTGGTAACTTTAAAATTGGTGTTATTTTCATGAAGTATAGAACCAGCAATTACTGAATTGACTAAGGGTACTTAGAGCTGACAATTAGAAGTTAAAGCAACCCGATTGCAGGTATCTGGGTTGAGGAGTGTAATGTGTGATTAGTCTTATTGTTTCATTAACTCTCATCCCAATGAAGGGCATGTGGGAACAGTGTGAATTTCTTCCCATGTTCCAAATTCAAGCCCCCTTACTTTCTGCTCAGAATTTTGCATTGGCCTTTTGTTTCTTCTGCTTCGCCACCTTGCTCTTCTCCACTTCCTCCCTAACACAGCAGTACCTGGGGAGGTGGGGGGTCACTCTTGAACAATATCTAGATCCTATCAGTTCTTGGCTTCAAAATCCCCATTAGTGCCTCAATGAAACAGAAGAATCACACCAAGTACTCTTTCCGAAGAGGGAAGTTTTCTCCAATTTCAGGTCCTTACTTCCATCTACTCTAACACTTTTTTTTAAATGCCCTGACCAACTCCTTAGAGAACTCTGGCTCTAGGACTGGGGTAGGAAACATACAAGATGAGCCTGAGGCATCTTGTAGAGTTAGAAAGTAAGGAAGTGCTCAGAAAAGGTGAGGGGTGGGGGCAGTACAGGGAGACAGGACACAGAAACCAACTGGAGTTCACAGTGGCCAGGGCTGGACTATTCCGAGCAACAAAATAATTAATGTAGTATTGGATTATAACCCAGTGTGTAAAATAAAACATCTGTGAGTCCATACTGATATAAATGATTGAATAAGTAAGTAGATGGGAGGGAGGAGACACATCTGTCATGCAGACAAATTCCCAATAGTTTTAGTAGATATTGTAACCTCACAGAGGTGGAGCATAACTCTCTACTCCCTAAGTGTGGGCTGCACAGAGTGACTTCTTTCCAAAGAGGACAGTATGGAAAGACAGGGAGGAGAGTAATGTTACGGTGGGGGAATCTGACGAGCACTATCTTAGCCAAGTGATCAGGGTCAACTTCAATAGTGGTAAGTCATGTTGATAGTATGTACCCTTGATATGATGTGATGAGAATGGCACTTTCCCTCTGTGGTCTTCCTCCAGAAACACATAACCTCAGTCTTATCAAAGGATCAGATAAATCCCACCTGAGGGACGTTTTACAAAATAACCTGAGCAATACTTCTTAAAACTGTCAAGGTCATCAAAAAGGATGGAATATCTGAGAAACTATCATAGCCAAGAGAAGAAGCCTAAGGAGATAAAACAACTAAATGTAATGTGGCATCCTGGATGGTATCCTGGAACAGAAAAAAAGACATTAGATACAAACTAAGGAAATCTGAATATAGCATTGACTTTAATTAATAATAATGTATCAGTATTGGTTCATTAATTGTAACAAAACTAGCATACTCGTATAAGATGTTAATATTAGTGGAATAAAAATAGGAAATTATAGGCTATGGCATATGGGAATTCACAGTACTATCCTCACAAATTTCCTATAAATCTAAGACATTCTATAATTAATTAAAAGGTTGTATTTAAAAAAATGCCCCAACCTTTCACATTAGTGAAATGCTTTTCCTTCATCATGGCCTGTTGAAGTTCAACCTTTAATCTCCCAACTTAAGAAGTCTTTTGAATTCTTTAAAAACAAATAGGTGTCTCCTTTGACCTATGTCCACAGAACTTGGTACTTGCTTTGTGGTGTTAATTTTAAGTTAATGCATTTATTTCTTCATTCATTCAACCAACAATTACAGTGTATCTACAGCAGTTGTTGACAATAAGGCTAACCTTGGCCCTGACCAAGCTTTCAATTTGCCTGTGGTCACAGACTCGTGGATACAGTTCGGTGAGGAAATATGTAAAGTGCCAAGAGAACGAGCAGTGGTGGAAGTGAGATGTTCTTGGAGGAACTGACCTTTGCATTGAGTTCAAAGAAGGGTTAGTGAGTGCATTTGAGTTGTAGGTGGTGGGTAGAAGGATGGGGAATAGGAGGGAATATTCTAGGAGAAACCATATTTGCACAATTACTGAGGCAGAAAGGAGGGTGACATTCCCAAGGAAATATATCATCATGACCAGATATTATCATAGGTAGCACATATGGACTCTCTACTATGTAGCAGGCTCAATGCTAACCCCTATACATGTGTTATGTTATGTTGGTTTATAATCATGCAACCTGTGAGGCAGGTGTTAATATTATTCCCATTTTACAGATAAGGAAACTGAAGCACTCAGTAAGTAGCAGAGCTGAGATTCAGACTGAAAGAGTCTGACTCTAAAGCCCAAACTCTGCCCTCCTGTTGAGGGGAGGCAGAATTAGTCTGCCTTGAAGCAGAGATTCTTGTGTTTCTTTCCTTTAAACTAGGATTTCTCAACCTGGGCACTGATGACATTCTGGACAAGATTGTTCTTTGGTGTGGGATCTTCCCTGTGCCCTGTGGGATGTTTTAGCACATCCATGGCCTTCACCTGCTAGATGCCAGTAGCACCTACCATCCACCAGTAATGACAATTCAAAATGTCTCCAGACTTTTCCAAATGTCACTGGTAGGGAGGGTGGATAGCAAAATCAAGCCCATTCCTGCCCCTGCATTGAGAATCACTGCATTATATTGTGGATTCTCAGGCTAGGATGAAGCTGGGTCTTCAGTCTTTCCTGTCTCCTCTCTTCCTTCCCTCCTCTCTTTTTCTCCAGTGTTTTCCTAAGGGCCCACCACGTATGGGCTGAACACGTCTCCAACAATTTATAACACAGTAACTTGTATATAGTGATTGCTTGACAAATGCTTGCTGAATTTATGCCAACTGAATCCTAAATGTTCTGAGTCCATTCTTGTCAAATAAAATATATCCTTCCTGAACATAAAACTTGATATTGGGAAAGTTAATTCCTGGTTTCCAGTTACTTGGAGTATCTTTTGTGTTCCTAAAGAACTGTCCTGCATGCTGCCAAGAGCCGCCTGAATGCTCACCAACATTCAGACAGACCCAACCGTCCACCTGTTAAGAACCTAGTGGAGAGTGATATACATTATGTTGCCAATAAACATTGAATGCATGGCTGACCTGTAACAATTAAGTGAAGCCATATGCCTAGCTCTGTAATTTGAGATGCCATTTAAAGCACATACTTATTTTCTCCAGCAATTCCTTCTATCATTTTTTGGATGAGATCTGGATTTGGGAAATGACTCCCCAACTAGGTTTTTTATTCAGCCCCCTGGAGAGTGAGCAGGCAGTGGGAGGGAGAGTTAATTTCTGGGCAGTCTTCCTGCCACCCACTGCAGGTTCTGTATGACTGGTGTGTCAGTTGCTTATCATTAGTGGGAGGGAGCTCGGAGAATTCTTTTTTTTTTTTTTAAGATTTTATTTATTTATTTGAGAGAGAGAGAATGAGAGACAGAGAGCATGAGAGGGAAGAGGGTCAGAGGGAGAAGCAGACCCCCCGCTGAGCAGGGAGCCCGATGTGGGACTCGATCCTGGGACTTCAGGATCATGACCTGAGCCGAAGGCAGTCGCTTAACCAACTGAGCCACCCAGGCACCCCAGCTCGGAGAATTCTAAATGGAAAGATAACACAGGAGTGAGCTCCCATAATATAATGCATTTAAATCAGGTAGACTCTTTATTTTGTGTTAGCTCCAGGCATGCATTCCTTCACTGCTTCTCAGTATATACAGTCTAGAATCATCACCTCTTGAGGGCTATTCATTGGGGCTCTTTGTTGCATTTGAAGTATGGTGCTATAATACCTGTCTTCTCCAGGACTGTGCATACCTAGCATATGGTCTTGTAGACATGTGTAAATAGGTGTTATAGAGAGTGGATGGGAGAGAGTCCTGCAGTAATTATGCTTCATGGACACTCTTTCTGTATTTTCTCTCACTTTCCCCAGCCCCTCCACACATACCCCCACAGGCCTTAATGGCCAATGAATTATTTCTAATCAGTGTCCCTGTTCTTTCTCTCTTGCCAGAAGGAGGGACATGTGAAGTGATTGCCGCGCACAGATGTTGTAATAAGAATCGCATCGAGGAGCGGTCGCAAACAGTCAAGTGTTCCTGTCTACCTGGAAAAGTGGCTGGCACGACAAGAAACAGACCTTCCTGTGTAGATGGTAAGTAGCTGGTTTTACATCTCTTCTTAGGTGTTTATCTTGGTGTTCGCTGTCTGTAATAGATATATATATATTTTTGTTTCACCTATATATGGTTCAGGATAACCAACAAGGTGCATCCAAAGCGCTGGAAGGTTGTACAAATGCCAGTCCTCAGCATAGTTAGAATTCTTGTTTCTCTGGCTTTGTGACTTTCACATGGCTTATTTTATTGTTTTTTAGAGAAGGTTAAGGTAAAATAATTTCTCAAGTCAAGAAATTGAAGGGTCCAGGGGCACCTGGGTGGCTCAGTCGGTTAAGCGTCTGCCTTGGCTTGGGTCGTGATCCCAGGGTCCTGGGATCGAGTCCCTCATCGAGCTCCCTGCCTGGCGGGGAACCTGTTTCTCTCCCTCTCCTCCCTGCTTGTGCTCTCTCTCACTATCTCCATCTGTCTCTCTTTCTCAAATAAATAAAATCTTAAAAAAAAAAAGAAAAGAAATTGTAGGGTCCAGCTCATTTGGGAAGTGATTTTGGATTGAGGTTTTATATAATGATGATGGTGACAATGGTACTAAAGATAACATTTACTCAATGTGTATTTAATGAGCATTTACTCTATGCCAAACAACTGCTCTGGGTGCCTCACATGTATTCATAAACAAATAGAGGTGCTCTGAATATTCACCATGTGCCAAGCACTGTCCTAAACACTTCTCATGCATTCTTTTATTTACTCCTCCCAAGGATCCTAGAACAGTGTAAAAATGATCCCCAGCGCTTAAAACAGCAAACATTCTCTCACAGCTCCTGTGGGTCAGGAATTCCACTTAGCTGAGTGTGTCTGGCTCTGGGTCTCCCGTGCAGTTGCAATCAAGATCTAAAGGCTTGACTGATGCTGGCGGATGGTTTCAAGATGGCTCACTCACATGGCTGTTGGCAGGTGGACTCAATTCCTTGCTGTGTGGACCTCTCCATAGGAGCTCAGTGTCTCACAGAGTGGCAGCTGGCTTCACCCAGACTGAGTAATCCAAGAGAACAATATAGGAGACACAGTGGCCTTCTTTTTTTATAATCTAGCCTCAGAAGTTACACTTCACTATTTCCACAATATCTGGTTGGTTATTTAAGTCATCCCCATTCAGTGTGGGAGTGAGCTATAAGGACTTGAAGGCCAGAAGACAGGGATCATTGCAACAGATACACTTTTCCTCCTATTTTAAACATGAAGAAACTGGGGCTTAGAAGGGTTGTGTAATGTTCCATTGGTCCCATGGCTGACAAGTTGTAGCTTGACTGACTTTTTTTTTTTAAGATTTTATTTATTTATTTGATAGAGAGAGTGAGAGAGAGCACAAGCAGAGGGGAGTAGCAGAGGAGAGGGAGAAGCGGGTTCCCCGCTGAGTGGGGAGCCTGATGCGGGGCTTAATCCCAGGACCCTGAGATCATGACCTGAGCCAAAGGCAGATGCTTAACCAACTGAGCCCCAGGTACCCCAGCTTGACTGACTCTTAAGCCTAGAGTAACTGACTGTAATACCAAGTCTTGACCACCATCTTTAAAACAACTTTATATGTGCTCATAGTGAGTCCAAGGTTCAAAAGGACCATAAGTATCTCTCCCCATCATTATCTTTCATAATTTTAGAGCCAGGTATGAGGTATTGTTCAGACTCTTCAGTAAGAAAATCAGGACTCAAGTGAGTCATTTTTCAGGGTCACACAGTAGCAAACAGAACCCAGATCTCTTGGCTTAGGATCCATTGTTCTACCTCTAGAAACAGATAAAGCAGGTCACCTTCTAGATTGGCTTGTGTTATGTTTTCATTATGAAGTATGGTGGTTAGAAAGAGAAACACACTCAAGCTAGACCAAGGAAAGTTATTTTTTTAAGAAAAGAGAAGAATCCTGGGGAGTCCATTTCCCAGAAACATCATGGAATCCATAAATTCTGCCAGCAGCCGCCATCTTGTTTTCTTTGTTCATGGGACACATTCTTTCTGATTTCTGTTGCCCTCCTTCTCCTCTGTGTGGACTGGTTCCCTCTTCTAAGATTTTAGCTTTTGAATTCCTATAACTTAGGGGCTGGTGTGAAGCTGTTATTTCCATGATGCCAACTCCGATCTCATATGGCATCACAATACAGCCCAAATATATTTGACTCATCTCCTGTGTTTTAGTATATGTGCTGCCGAAGCGAGCACTCATCTCCTGTGTTTTAAATGCATTCTCCAAAAAGGACCAAATATAACTGGCCCAGCTTGTGTCACATGTTAACCTTTGCCCAATCAGCCATAGCCAGAGAGCTGAACATGGGGCTTGTTCACCTTACCATGGTGTACCATGGTAAGGTCAAGCTTTTTTTTTTTTTTTTTTTTTAATTTTTCTAAGGGATGTGAAAAAGCCAAGTTTGGGAATATACTATTATCAGTAAATTCTCAATTAATACATTTTCAGGGGTCATTTGGCACTATCTGGAGACATTTTTGGTCTAGACATCTCTTGCAATTAGGGGGATATTATTCACATGTGGTGGGTAAAAGCCAACAATGCTGCTAAACATCCTATAATGCACAGGACTGCGCCCACAACAAAGTATTACCCAGCCCCAAATGTCAATGGAATTGAGGTTGAAAACTTGCGCTTATGGTTATTTATTTGTTCCAGATCACAGTCAACATGGTAAGGCACTTCCAATGCAGGAGAGGCAAGCAGTTAGACTAGAAATGCCACTTTTTCACTTGTAGGAGGAAATGCTTGGCCTTTGAAGCCAACAAACATTATAAAACCATGATAGTTTCTCAAGCTGTCTGCCAAAGAAAGCCTCGAGTCTGTTAATTATGAATCTCCATTTTGTTTCCAGTTCATTTTTATTTCTAATGATCTAGAATTAGAATTGCCTTCAGGATTTGGATGTAAGACACAAAGAGCAATACATTGTTTATTCTGGCAGAGGGGGAAATGGCATCTGGCCCTAAGTTTCTATGAGAAGCTCAGCCACATAATGGGAATATTCTGTCTCTCAGAACAAGTTTGTTTGACTTTGGAAACTCTGAATCCTTTAGTGTGGTGGGTTCAGGCAAAAGGGCTATTAGTCCCTATCTTCCAAGCAAAAGTCAATAAATTATAGAGTATTCTATAGTGTGAACCTATAGCATTCCACTCTTCTAAAATCCTTGAATCCATTGGCATGCATGAGGAAAGTGCTGCTATGATCAAAATTTTGTTTATGGCCCAAATCTCTACATGCAAATGAAAAAGGAAGTGCAGATATAAATTAATAATTCCAGTGTAGTTATTAAGATCATGAACTGTGCAATTAGACATGAGTAGAACTCAGCTATATCAGTTACTAATAGAATTACCTTGGGCAAGTCACATATGCTTTTTAATTTGTTCCTTGGCTGTGAAATGGAGATGATAATTACTTCGGCTTATGGTGAGGATTAAGGAAGTCATGTGTACAGTATGTTTTGCGTAATATCTGGTTCCCATTACATACTCAGTAAATGTTGGTGTCTCTTTCCTATCTTACTAGTAAGCGTGGATAATGCTTAGAAAGGCACATTGTTTTCCAAAGTTTTGTTGCATTTTAGTTGAACACAGTGGCATTGTAGCCACCATCTTTTCCTGGAACTGCTTCTAACTAATTATCCTGGATATCACTATTGCTGGTGAGTCAGCTTCAGGAATGTGTGTTTCTTATAGGAATTTTGAAAACTGTAGAAATAATCCATACATTAAAGTCACACATGATATTATTCCTCAGAGATTACCATTACTTTGTAAGAAAACACATACATGTCCATTTAGGCTTAACCCATCATTAAAAAGAAACTCACATGGCAGGTATTTTACTGAACTAAAATGTCATAGTACTGTTTTATCGACAGCTTGTTTCATTTGCCATATGACAAACATTCCCCAACTTAAAATATATTCTTCAAAAACATTATTGCTAATAGCTACATAGAGTTTCAGGGGTGGATACAATTCCATTTATCTAACCATTTCCTCCACTTGGACATATTTATAGTGTTTTGTGCATTTCCCTTTCTAAGCCTAAAAATGGATAGAAACCAGCTTCTCCCCATGACAGTGGTTGACAATCCATACACCATATTTGTCCCGAACATATCCTGTTGTACATAGTGCATTTCCCATGTAAGTGTTCCAATTGCTGTTATTTACTTGCCTCTGAAATTACAGGTCACTTGCCTTCCACAGTGTTTTCAAAGCCGGAGAAACAGCTATGATTTTAAAATAAGCATATATTCTATTATTTTAAGATTCAAAGTCAGAGACCAGATGATTCAAAATGGGACATAAATTTTGCAGTGTAATCTTAGCAACTTATCTAAAAATAGAATACAGGATATTGTGAGAAATTTTTAAAGAGTGGGCTTTGAGTTTAAAAAATGATCTTCTATTGCTTAATAAGTGAAAATACCAAAGAAAAACACTCAACAGCTTAAACGTTGTGATAGGTATTTATAAATATTTTGAAAAGAAATATACCCTGGCACGTGTGCCTAGCACTATTCTGACCAGATATTAAGTCATTGCACTGATTCACACCGTCTCGTGTATTGTTAATTATTCTCTAACCCTAGGGGAGGGTGCCTTCCTTACTATCTTTGTTAACAGTAATCAAAATGATGGCCCAAATGTTCTTGAAGTCTTACCCTGTACCCTTCTTTTAGGTCCTTCAAGTCTGTACATTCATTTAATTCTAACCCCAACTCCCAAAGGTGTCTCCTATTATTCCATTTCGCCAGTCAGAAAATTGAGGCATGGGAAATTTGTGACTTGCTCAAAATCAAGCAGCCAGTAATGACAGAGCCAGAAGTCCAGTCTGGGCTCTCTGACTCCAGGGCCCTATTTACCAAGTGTGGGCAGACGAGGATGTAGCAAAAACACGCATTCTATTCCAAAGCCTTTCGTATAAGATACCAAAATCCCTGGGTGAGAAGGGGCAGAAAGTCCAACCGTGTACATATTTTCAGAAACATTCGGTCCTTCGGG